ATTCTTCGAATGATCCTGTAGAAGTTCCGATGGTAGTCAGCGATCACAGTAAGCGGCCAGATCTAGCCCTAAAGACTATATGGCAAAAAGGCATAGATCAGGTCGATTACTGTGCATAATGGAGTGCCGAGATTATCCAAACCAGGGCCAACAGAAGACGTGTATAGTAACATATCGTTCAAGCGTTCTTACAGTTCATCATTGATGTTTCATGTTCATCCGAGAAATGCAGACCAACGCATTATGCGTCATGGGCATGAATCTTTGAAAACGGATCACAACACGCTAACTGAATATACATGAAAACGGACCTCTGCCGCTAATTTTGTCCACTCCGTCAAGGATCTAAGATACTCGTCTTTGCCCTCATCCACCGGTATGTCTGGGGACCAAACAGTCAAGGAAGAAAACCTTGAGACCGGGGTCAGTCTCCGAATTTCAACACGCAAGTCATCGTCCACCGCATCGTCTTCATCTGTCTCCATCTGTCGGCTGCATGTTCGTGTCGCTCGACTCTTGCGTCTAGTTTGAGCTATTGTTTCAGCCGTCCCAATGTCATCGCCTTGACTGTTTGCATCACTGCTCGGTACACTAAGGACTATGCCACCGTAACCTTGTGGTAGGTCAACGGTACGACCGTGTACCTGCCTCCCTCTGAATGCTGCGATAAAGTTGTTGCTGAGACTACGTTCTACTGGAGGTGCCGCGGGTGGCGCACGAGCCAATTCGCTTGATGGGCTGGCCTGAGTACCAGAATCTGCGTCGGCTATCAAAGCGCCCACTCCTGCAGGACATGCCTGTGAATCCTCCTCTAATAAAGCAGACTGTGATTCGGCAATTGTAGTTAGGGAGAATTGGGAGTCTTCAGAAACAAGGGTGTTCTGGCTGTTGTCCGTGGACAGGTGTGTTTCGTTGGACGTGTTTTGTGTAAGGGAAAGGTGCGGGCTAGAAGGCGTCGAGGGCTTGACGCGAAAGTATGTGGATATTGGTGCGGGCCCTGAGTGAGAGATGTGAAATGGCATGAGATTGGGCGAGCATTCTGGGAGGTCAAGAGTAACCGGTGATATTTCCATGCTGGTGGCGCTGGTTGGTTGATCAAAAAGGCTTTCATCTGAGAATTCAAGCTCAATATCAATGGTCACGTGATTCTGCTACATTCATTCAACGACTTTGATTATTCTGAATCACTTGGTACTTGTCGTCTGTTAAACTTATCCCACGACACCTACGACGTACAGTTGGCCTCGTCTGCACAATCTTAATCATCAACATTGCAGCCCTGCCATTGCCTTTAAATGCTGTCATTTCATGTCTCCATCATGCTGTCACTCAAAGATGTGGTTCATGCACCACTCTGATCCTTCTGCTCAACATAAATTTACACACTTTAAATTTCAATATCGTTTCTGTGGGGACTATCTTGAGTGACCAACTTAGCTAGGGACATCAGCCTGAAATTCATGGATAAGTACATGAAGAATAATGTACAGGTTCTTTGGAAGATACCCCCATGCAAGCCCTTTCTCTGCATCAACAAACAGCAGCTTGGTACCTGTTGGGTGGAAAAATTTGTTGATGTGACAGGAGGAGAAATAACCAGGGGAAAGTAGGTGAGTATAGGTATTATCATTCTCACCCTCCTGAGTCCTCATCACTGTGTATGCCTGTAAAACAAGCAGACTGTCAGCATGTTGACCACTACAAGCAAATTGAAATACAGCATTTGCCCTCAAGCTTTAAGTGCATTTTTTTCTGATCTCACAGTTCAACAGGAATGATGATGATATCTACTTGGGTGAAGGAAGATCTGAACGACCTGAAGTTGGAAAGTATACTTATGAGGCTATGAGGCATCTTCAAGTGAGTTTCTTTCCACATGAAATTCCTTTCTTCTTTCCCAACACCAAACTCCTGAGAGTTTGTTTCTAACTTGTTGAATTGTTTATTCTGTTTCATGTCCTCTGAGTCACCATTGAGCATTCTGCATAGGTTCCTACACAGAACAGCAGTGGTAGAAGTCACAACCTACACCTCAAACCATGACGTGATTTAGTACATGGATTTGGAGTTGCTGCAGACCTTCTTATAATTACATGGTCAATATGACAAGAGTACTCATTCTGAATGGCCCACAACACTAGTGAATAAATATTCAGAAGAAGTCAACACTTGTAACAGCATGCCTTGCAGCAGCCAGCACTTGACTAGAATGGTCAGTGCTAAGAGTGCTGACATTCTAGACTTGGATAAGCAGGTTTCTGCGGCATTGCATTGTTTCAACATTGTAAGTCTTGTTGGACACTTGACAGCTGGCAGTGATGTGAGCTGACAATTGATGCTCAACTGTGGTTGCAGTGAGCTTTGATTGTTCCACAGTATATGCATCCACAATCTCCCTCATTGTGCCAGTCACCATGGTGATTGACAGTGGCATTATTCAGTCACCATTTTTACGCTGTGGGTGCTTCAAGACAATCCACAATTGGTGCATTCACAGCTCACTGTTTAAGGCATGTTGTGGCCCTACCAGGGGACACTTAAATACCCTCATTGCATTGCTCCTTCACATCACCATCCCCTTCTCCTCATTCTGATCATTACCATGTCACCAGGCAAGGTTACTCAAAAGTTGGTCACTCCTTCATCTTCTTTGGAACTCCATTCCAGTGCTTCATCCAATGCACCCAGCATAATGTCAATGAAACTTTACTCAGATATCCCTCTTCTTCCACACCCTGACTCAGAGTTGGCCAACCCTCCAGCCCCCACTCATACCTTCACCTTCACACACTCTGGTACAGCAGAGGCATCCCAAATTCTTCTGGTGACATGCTCCTATGGCCCCTTTTGTGTTTGGTGTGTTTTTGGCCAGGGTGGGTTCACTATGGCAATGGGAGCTCAAGATGTAGCGTCAAATCACTTGTTGTGTCTCAAGGTCTTTCAAAAGGACCATCTTAACTACAAGTTTACAAAAGATGTTTTTTTGAAGGAACTCAAAGTATATAAGTGTCTTTCATTGTTGATGCCATGGACCAAAACCAGCTTCCTCATGGGGCTTGAAATGTCATTTCAGACAAAGGATCAAATATGCCTTGTCATGGTATGTTTTTCTCCCCCTGCAAGCCATTTGAGTTGTTTGACTCCATTGAACATCTCTAGGACTTCATAGCAGGCAACCTACACACTTATATGAAGGATCACTCCTCATATTGCCACCAGCATGGTCGCAGGTGGACTGCCCAAATAGTAAGTAGTTGTTTTTCCTGGTTTGTGATGTCTTATACCTCCAACTTTGAAGGCCCTTGGTCTCAATTCTCTGCATGAGATAGGGATAATCCATTGGGATATCAAAGCTGAAAATATCCTGATTGCTAACTTTGGCTTGTGTTATGTAAAGAAAGAGGAGGGGCCCTTGGAGCCACAGCAGAGGTATATGGCAAGTGTGGTGGGAACAACCTACTGCATGGTACCAGAGGTTTTGTGCAACAGAGGCAATCCCAATTCTATGAGGTATGGAGTATCCATGGATTGGTGGTCACTAGGCTGTGTTGTCTATGAGCTTGTTTTGATGACACATGAGGCACATATCATGTCTTCCTCCGCTCCTATCTTACTGATACCATCTTGTCAGGCATTCTTTGATAAAGAGTTCCATATATGGCTCTATGTTTCTTGGTTTTCCAGCCCAGACAGAAAATCCAAATGGTTCCCTGCCTTTCAGTGTTTCCATGAAAATATCACCAATTTACTTTCAGGAGTAAGTTTTGTATTGTTCCTTTCCAACACTATCATTTATCTTTACTGCAGTAGCTGCTAGACCCTAACCCATCATCATGGTTTGGGTTCCATGAGCTTGCAGACCATAAATCATTCTTGTGCAGATGTGGCATGTCAGAATTCTCTGATGCATACTCTCATGGTAGGTTTACTCTGATTTATCTGAGAACATCATGCTTAAAACTTATTGTAGCAGCTGAACACCAAGAAATACCTGAATGGCTGCCAGACTTAAGAGATGGCCAAGATGCTTGCACAGCAGAGGTTTGGTTTCCCCTAACTTACTGGGAGAAACCATGCATTCCAAATGTGGATTGGGTCAGGCTGGCGCGTTTTACTTCAGACTTATGATATCCTTCAGTCAGTATTTGTTTCATTGCAATAGTCCCCATTTCAAGCACTTCATTTTTACTACATCTCCCTTCCTTGTTACAAACAATCTTCAAATGTACTTCATTCTAGATACCTCAGCACCTTGGTTCCCTTTTTTTGGTTTACATATATCTTTCACATTTTCCATTCTGTTTGTTCCATATACCCAGGTGGTGGTGGAATCAGGGTGGGTATTTGGGGGTTTGGCCGTATAATGGTAGCTGATTTTGGTGGATTGAGTATGCCATGTTGTAAGTGTTAGAGGAAGATGCTCAAGTGCAAGGTCTGTCTGTCCAGAGCCTCATTGATATTCACCATACATCCTGCAACATTCATGACACAAATATTGTCATTTGAAGCTTGTCAAGGAGAATTTATCTCATACTGATAGTCTGAGCTGACATCTCAGTAGACTAGTGTCCGTTGTCCTGCATGATTTGGGAATCATGCATGGACATGACTACTAGGTAGCCCCCCCTAAAAGACAAAGTCTGTTAGCTTAGGCATCAGGCTAGTCAACCCATACCTTGGTTTCAAACCTTGGTCAAATAGTTCAGTTTCCCCTCTGTGATTCATGAATTTATTATATCTTGAAGAAAAGTCATTTGTGAGATGGGAATCACATAATGACCTAGTTGATATTGTGAAGCAAGAAAGTTAAGGTATTGCCTTGCCTTTGGCTTATTCACTTTGGCTAGAGAAAACCATAGAGAAAAGTTCAAAGCCTAACAAAAACCTATCTAAAAAGCCTGTGTTTTGTGTCTTGTTATTGTATTATTATTTCTGAGTTGTTTTCTCTAGTATTTCCTTGATTTATTTTTCTATTGGGATGCTCTGACCCATCAGATACTTTACAAAATTGTACCTACAGGGTATGATGTCATAATGATGTCATTTGTTCTGGAATGTTCTGCTCCACAATGACTCACCTCTGATGTCATTACTCCACCTATGGAATATTCTGCTCCACTTCTGATGTCATTGCTCCGCTTTTTTACTTACATAATATTCCCACACAAAATGTATATAAGGAGGGCCCATTCTCCCCCAAAAAATAGGATCTCCCACTTGCAATCATTTGAATCTCAGTTTGAGCTACTCACTGTGAAGATTGTTGCTTATGAAGAAAGCCCCTTTGAAGTACCAAGTGCAGGGAAAAGACATTTCCTTGAGATTACATAAGTTTCTTATGATAGAAACTTAGTTTATTTGAGACCAGCTTCTCACCTAGTTTCTGATATTGACCAACACGAGCTTTGGTCAATTTGTTCATTTGTGAGACCCACTTCTCACCTAATTTCCTGATATTGACCAACATGAGCTTTGGTCAATCTGATCATTTGTGAGACCAGTTTCTCACCACTTTGTGCCTATTTGACCAACCAGTCTTTGGTCAATGTATTTGTATTTGAGACCATAGTCTCTACAGAGGATTATCTTAATGAGGAACCACATTCCAGTGTCTAGACAGTTTATCCTAGACAAGTTTATAAGTTGGGATATAACACAAAAGCTCCAGCTAAGTTAATCACATAGATTGGTTTAGTGAGCCTCCAAAGAACTTACATGTTATCTACCATGAAAGAAGAAAAGTCGTAGACTGTGTTAATTGAGGACTGGCAAGAAGTCTTATCCTAGTGTAATTGTGGTGTCATTACATTTTACATGCATTTATATAAGACCCTCAGTTATTAAGACACCGGACCTCCAGACCTTCAGTCCTCCTGTCCTCCATACTCCAGACCTCTGGACCTCCTACCCTTCCATCCTGTTTCCTGTAGAAGTACTACCTTGCAGTGGGAACTCTCCTGAGCACTTCCTGCATTCCTCTGGAACTCTCCTGTGCTCCTCCAGACATTTCCTGCACTCCTCTGGAAGTCCTCTAGCACTCCACCAGAGTAGCCAGCCTCCAGAAGTCCTCCAGACTTCATCAGACCATCATTGGACCTCCTCTAAAATGAAGGGCACATACTCAGGTAAGGGGCACAGCGTACGAGCTGAGGCCAAGCCCCTCTGAGTCAGTCTCTCTCTCCCTTGAGCATGGTTCTTAACATATGGCAAGGGAGGACTAGGATTCGGATACAGAGCAGCACATTGGCCTAGAAGGAGATGACCTCAGACGGAAAAGTGAAAAACTGGCAGCCATTTCAGATGATATACTTGAGTCAAAATCTGAGCTAATGGTGTGGTGATGACTTGGAGGGACTGTTGGTTCTTGATGTTCACCCAATTCCAACTGAGTTTGAAATTGAAGGATAGCTTACTCAGCAACGATATTTGTTATTTTTCCACTTCTCCTTCAGCAAGCCAGTACTTATCACCTCACAAGTGCCTGAAGTTAATTTGATGCTGCATACATTCTCCCAGTTGTAACTTCAACCTGCTTGTTTTCCTCCTTGACCACTAATTCTAGTACACAATCATATGCAAATGATGTTCAACAACCTTGACAATTTCAAATCTAACCCACAAACCAGTCAAGGCCCTCATTTGGCTTTCACAGCGGGGGCCTGTTATGTTCGTGGAATATGAAGTTGGTCCAGTCCACTTGCTGTGAGGTTTTGTTATGAAGTTAAGCAGATCAACAGGTGGCTGGGTCAGATGCGTCTCTACAGAGTTGAGGTTGGTGGTTTTCTTTCATCTAGCTTGTAGTTTTGGGACAGACATTTTTAATTATATTTACCCAAAATTGAGATCTCGAGCTATTTTAAACTTGAACTCACACCAGGATATCCACAAACCTCATCATTCAATATTGTGGGTTGAGCATCACCATCGGATTACTCCATGTTGCTCTGAATACATATTAATAGATTGGGGTCTGTCCTATGTAGTATTTGCCTGATATCCAGCAGGGAATATGGTTGATGGCTCTGCAATATACAGTTGCATCTCGGAATGAGTCAAGTCAACCAACTTTCAAGCACAGGTTGTATCTGATGTGGTTGATCCAGTAAACATGGAGACAGCACAAATGTTTCTTTTCCTCACAAATAATCAGACCTTGACACTGTGCCGCCCAGCGATTGTGTATGGTTTGACTATGGTTCACCAGTTCATGCATTGCTACACACAAGTCGACAAATTTGATCATGTTTTGGCACAGCTAAGAATTGTTCATCCAAACTCGTATTTTGAGAAGGGTCGACTGCATCATCTTGCAGAGCAAGGTCATGTTGGATGTAAGATAATCTGTCAGTCACCTGGTATGAACATCGTAGAAAACAAGTAACCTAGATCTAAAATCTAGAAACTCAAAACTGTAGCAATTACAAAAATCCAGAGCACCAGCCAATTGCCTGCATATCGGAGCAAGGTCAGAAGTTCGCAACGCGAACCCTAGTCGAACAGCAAGCCTTGCACCAGTTAGTGCCATGATCGACCCGGGATTCCAGCGGCAAATGGGGCCGCAAATCTCCGCTTTCCTTGTATGACTAAGGCAGACTACCCTTGTTTCGAAATTCTCTCAAGCAGCGGGCACTCCTTGTTTCAACTTCATTCGAAAACCAGCGACTTGAGAGTGTGGGCCATACTACGATATCTCGATCTTCTATCATGGCATGGGCCACACAGTCCGCTATTCTCCCAATTGCATAACAATTCCTCGCAAAATCTCAGCTGTCGGCAATTCGATTCATCCGATCCGGACGCATCCCCAGCTTAGCTCCTCAGCCTGCCTGTCAGCGCTAGCAGCTGTTCTCTTTTTAACTTTTTAATTCAAATCCAGCGACTTGAGAGTGTAGCCATCCAACGGCAACGCGGTTGTCATGGCGTGGGCCACACTGACACACTCCGCTGTTCTCCCATTATTCCTGGTTTTTGCACACCGACTCATTGTGAAACCTCAGCGCTCAGCTTTGAATCTGTCCATCATTCGATTCAGCTCAGTCTTGCTCATCCACAGCAGCGGACCCATACACGTGTCTTCCTATCTCGTAAAGGAAAGATCTTCAGGCCCGAACTAGCCTGGTTTATACCTTTTGCTCGGCGTTCAGTGAGCATCGCGCACTAAACGTTGAATGACACTTGAGTCTGTGCGACCTTCAGAGTCACGACGTGTGACGTATGCAGCACAGCACTCGGGAATATGTAGCGTAAACATACGTTATAAAGTGGGACCTGCACGCCACTAAGGGATATGAGTAGCGCCGTATTTTGGTCACTACTGGTCTCCTCAGGTCCTGTGGTTTCATCTTCTATAGAACCGGGCAACACACATGGAAGCACAATTTGAATACGACTCGGCCTGAATGCTCCACGCACGATATTCCTGGCCTCCGTGGTTTGTCCTTGTTCCTGTGGCGGCCCAGCACAATGGGAACAAGATTTAATAGCTTTATCTATTTGTGCAGGTTGTCAAATCTTGCTGACAATGTCATACGTACAGGGTAATATTTGTAGGGGTTCATCGATATCCCAAGTATTTTCCTGAGCCTATGAAATAAACTCGGGATGACCAAGGTAAGCATCGGTTGCAAAAGGCTCAGAGTTAATGCATTGACGTTACGTTTCCCATCAATCTGGTTACACTTTCTTCCGTGAAGCCGAGCATGCCGAGGCGAGGTTCACAACTCATGACTCGAAGGAGGTGAGGGTCCATGTACTTATATATACAGTCGCTACTGTCATTTGTCCCAGCTCTGGATGGCGTCTGAATCCAAGTCTCAAACGGGAGCCCCTTACCACGAGGATATACAGGGCTCGGAGACACTAGTGGAATACCCAGTCACTAAGGACTCCGACCCTCCCTCACTCTCGGATGAGTTCCCCGAAGGTGGTCTGGCAGCTTGGACAACTGTTTTTGGATCGTAAGAATTGTTATTTGGACAGTAAACTCAAGTCTTAACTGAATTGTCTAGGTTTCTTGTGCAGTTCAGCGGCTACGGGTGAGTTTTACTGGTGCTGGTCAAGAACGGTGTATAATTGAAAGCTATAAGTTATGCCACTTCATTTGGTGTATACCAAGGTACTATTGTTTCACATGATAGCAAGGATGGATGCTGAACCCTTACCCTCCAGATTTTTATACTCAGCACTACCTCACAAAAGAAACATCGTCGGCTATATCGTGAGTTTGTGCCTCGGTCTCCATGGCGGGTATCCTCAAGGTCCCTTGTAGATGGATAGGGAGCTTGAACATGTTTTTACTCACAGCTGTAGGCCTTGTATCAGGTTTACTGTACGACCGAGGATATTTGTGAGTGTAATTATGTTGGGGTTGCTCGATGGTACTCAGCTTTCTTGACTAGCTACCACCTCATGATTGTCGGATCACTCCTGCAGAGTTTCTCCCTCTTCATGTTATCTTTGTCAAAACCTGATCAGTACTACCAGGTAACTTTCCCCCTGCTCTCTGACCTCGTTTTCTGACTTCGTATAGATATTCCTTGCCCAAGGATTAGGTTCAGGTATCGCAACGGGGCTCATGTTTGTCCCGAGCACGGCCGTCATTTCGCATTATTTCCGACGCAAACGCACGCTGGTTCTGACGTTCGTCGCTTCGGGATCTTCGTTGGGCGCTACCATCCATCCGATCATGCTCAATAACCTTTTGAATGGCACTCTCGGTTTTTCTAATGGTGTCCGTGCAAGCGCAGGGTTGGTCAGCGTGCTCCTTCTAATCGCATGTCTATGCATGCGAACTCGCCTTGATTCGCCGACGATACCGGTAAACTACATTGCGGCAGCTAGAAAGTGTATTCGCGATGTACCGTTTGTTCTCATGATAGCAGGGTGAGACCTGTAACACATGTTTTTTCGAATACCTCTAAATGACCATCCTTTAGGGCCTGTCTTTTCCAAATTGGCTTCTACTTTCCGATGTTCTTCCTTCAACTCGACTCTATCAAGCACGGTCTCAGCGTCACGTTCTCGTTTTACTCTGTGGGATCCAGTGCTATTCAAGTGATGTACCTACTGACACTGTCACTAGCTAGTGATTTTAAATGCTGCCAATTGTGTGGGACGAGTCACATCGGGGTTCATCGCAGCCATCACAGGAGTCCCGAATTTAACCATAGTTGCGACGATTTCGTGTGGAATACTCAACTTGGGCTTTATTGGATTGAGCAACCTGGCCAGCGCCACAGTGCTTGGCGTGATTTATGGCTATTTTGCAGGGCTATGTAAGTAGTTTTCTTTCTACCACGTTTTATTCAAAATGTGTTGATGGATGGTGCAGACATTGGGGCATGGGTCCCACTTATGGCTGACTTAACGCCTGACCTATCTGAGCTTGGGTGAATAATGGTTTCATTTTGAATGAACGAATTATCTGAACTGGATCATAGCGCGCGGATGGGCATCTGCTTTGCATGAGCGGTGAGTCTTGTGAAATTATAATTACCTCCAAGCTGTTACAAACTTGCACACGCCCACTGCAGGATTTGGGATTTTGATTGGCACGTGCATTTCTGACATTGCTTGCTTCAAAGTCTAAGTTTTATCCTAGGAACCCCCATATCCGGCGCTCTGCTGACATCGAACTATACCTGGTGGATACCTTCGCTGTTCTCCGGGGTGAGTTCTGCCGTTTTCTCCATCAAAATCGATTCTAATTCACTGGATCACAGGTCATTGCGCTGGCTGGTAGCATGATGTATATCATCATGCGGTTGATGTTGTCAAAACGCGGACAGAAGGAGCGTGGTGCTCAACTTAAAGTATTAGAAAATCACCCCTAATGGACGACATACCCGACCTAGACACAGGTATGATTAGTCCTCAGTCTCAGATAGAAGACTCTATATTGTGATGTACTTAGACACAGGTATGATTAGTGTACAATACCAAGTTAGTATGAGTGAGATGACTGTTAATAAGTGGACATACCCTCAGTCTTGGATAGAAGACTGAGGGAAAACGACAATGAGCGTTTTGTCACTCTATGCAGGTAACGAGGCACGACCGGAGGCAATAGAGCTAAGTCTTCGAGTGAACGGCAAGCGGAGCTTTTGCGCATCTTGCTTCTTCACCACGACGAACAGTTCACCCCGTGCACTTCGTCGGCATAGCTTTTTCTTTTCCCCACCCTCTCCCTTCTCATCATGCTCTCGCATGATTCTAGCGCCTCGCTGGCGACACGAAACACTCTTGCCCCGAAAGGACGATTAACCTCAGACAGCGAGGCGGCCCACCCGCCCTCGCAGCTCACCTTTTGTCCAACAGGACAAAGTCCCTTCGGAGCCGGGAGGCGCTGCGCGCCTTCGCCCGTAATCTCTCTTCAAACATTCACCCGTTAAACTTGTACACACCATGTCGTAGCTCCTATCATTCAAGTTTAACACCATTGATGTTCTTCACCACTGCGCAAATGAGACGCTGGAGTGAACCTCAGACAGGTATCAAGTGCGTTTCGGGAGTAATCGGGATACTATATACGGCAAGTGAGATGAACGAGCGTTGAGTTGCAGTCTATGACCTCAATTCGGTAGAAAACGAGTAAACTAGATCCAAAATATATAGACACTCAAAACTGCAGCAATTACAGAAGTCCAAAGCACCGGCGGATTGCCTGCATATCGGAGCAAGGTCAGAAGTTCGCAACGCGAACCCCTAGTAAGTCACTCGTTAGTCATTCCCAACGACAAGTAAATGAAGCATTACGAAATCGAACCTGCCTAGAACTAGTAGCTTTGTATATACATAGAAATATAAGCCTAGCACTACATATCACCTTCTGTTTTGCAACGATGCTGAAAGACCGCAAATCAGTGGAACTGTAGAAAATTGGGGGGAAAGTCAAAAGATTTAACAGACAGCGAGTCCCTGAAACGGCGATGTCAAAATGCGGTGTTGATGTATTGTTATCGGTTGATTGATTTGGAGCTATCACTGACTTGAGTCTAACAACCATGTCCAGTCCACCGAACTCGCTGCAAGCGTCTATGCACGCTCCAAAGCCATCATCGGCCGTCCGCCCGCCGTCCTTGAACCAGCTCGCTGCTCGTATCAATCTCGGCAGCAGTACAAACTCGCCGTCATCATCCCCAGCCCGCCCCCGTCTCGCTGCTTCACTCCTGCGCACGGGATCGCAAACCTCACTGTCTACAACGTCCACGAACGACTCAATAGTCGTTAATGCCCCTTCCACTCGCTCGGTGTCTCCGGCGCTCACCGCTATGACTGCCGCTACACCACCGAAATCCACGACTCCATCAATACCAGAGGATGCGCCACTCGCATCCTCAGAACCTTTGACGCAGGAGAACCTTAAAGAACTCAATCAGGAGTCGAAAACTGAGAAGAAGGTGAAAGGGTACAAGAATATTCCATCTCTTGACGCGATAACAGCGCACTTGGCTAAAGCGAGATCGCTGAGCATCGACGGGTCTGCGCGTCCACCGGATGCTGAGCTGGTGGAGGATCCAAAGACACCAGGAGCTACCATGAAAGCGCCAGAGCATCCATTACAGTTTCCTTGGTGAAGAATTTTGTTATTTGTCTACCGCACTATCGTCTAATTACATGTGTAGGACGATCTACCATGACTCGAAATCCAAAGCGCCTCTCGCTCATCCAAAGGGAGTTGCTGAAGAGGGCGGCACACCTTTCCTTTCCGCCCCACCAGAGACAGAAGACTATGAAGCTGGTCTGACTGTCATTGGAGAATTCAATACGGTGGAGTCCTTCTGCCGGTACTTCAATTGGCTGAAACCACCCTCCAAACTGGACCGTAACTCCAACTATCACATATTTAAATCGGGAATTAAACCGATGTGGGAGGATCCAGCAAACTCCAACGGTGGCAAGTGGGTTCTGACAATGAAGAATAATTCTGCACTTCTAGACCGCTGCTGGACATGGCTTGCGATGGCACTGGTTGGTGAAGAGCTCGAGGAAGGGGACGAGATTTGCGGTGCGGTGGTTAGTCTTCGGAGCAAGGTCGACAGGATTCAAGTATGGACGAGGAGTAAAGATGACGTCGAGAGGCTGAACGGGATAGGTAAAAAGCTAATAAAGCTTCTAGACGTCTCTGAAGCGGATAATATTGGTCTCGAGTTCCAGGTTAGTTCCTAGCTACCCTGCACAAGAACACAACTGATAAATGTTCCTTATCAGTACAACACAGATGACCGACCGCTACCTAACAAATTCCTCTTCATACAGTCCGCTCCGGCATCTTCCTTCCGCTCCTCATTCGGAGTTGCAGCTCATGGACACAAAGGATCGTCTGGAGGCATCATCAGTCCAACCAGCGATGCTGGGACTCCGGCGAGTGTTGCTGCTGCTGCTTTTGGGAGCTTCGGCATGCCCATCGGGGGCACAACTGCCTGGAGAGGAAAGCGATGATTTCAGGCAGATTCACTATTATTCGATGTATTGGAGCCAGGTGCTGATAGAGTGACGCTGACAAGAACCAAAGAAGAACTCGTGACGAAGATGTATATTGTACTCAAGCTCATTTTTCAGCAGTAGCTTTGCTTTCGCGTGTCAACTTATGTCCTGTACAAATCCGTTGCAATCACACATCATAGGCCAACACGCAAATTAATTGCTGGACCTCTTTTAGGACTTATCATTCGGTAGTGGCGGGCAAAGATGCAAATTGCGCACCTGGATCATACTGCGACTGCATCACACTGAAATTGCTGAGCTCTTCTCAAATAGCCTACGCAGCGGACTCATAACCGTGCGTGAATATTACTTCTACTGTGCCGAAACTTTCAATCAAAGCTTTCGAACCAGCTGGATGCTATCATGTTACAAATAGCACAAGTTTACAAACGAGCCCTCTACTAGTATTCTGAGATCTCTATTGCTCGAATCGAGCGGCAGGAAACATTGTTTAGAAGCCAACACGTCGGTTAACTCAGCAAATTTACTAGTAACTCGCGCGTCAGTACCAACAACCATACCGGACTGATGTCAAAGCAGAAACACGACTCACTTGGCAAAAGAGGGGGGTCTGCCATGTCGGTGAGTCATGTGGCTTAATCCAGAACGCAAACTACTGATACTCACACAATATCCTTTAGCACAACCAATGCATTGTGAATCCCTCACGCAAAATGTGGAACATTGGTCGAGCCGAGCGAGCAGACTGCCATCGTCAGTGGGCATGGCAGATATGGATGATGTCAGAGCAGCGACGACGACGAAAACAATCGCAGGGGAGAAACGCATTGTTTGTGATGATGTGATATCTGACTAGATAATCTGAAGTGGACGGTAGGAAAACGGCTTGCTTTATATGCTGGATTTCATGGTGAATACTTGGAGATATAGAAAGGACCTATTCACTGGAATCCCCTCAATAGCCTCGCGTCAAGTGAATGGCCGAGCTCCGAAAGTCTCCTGAAATTCTTCTCGTGAGGTTGTATCTCCGAATAGATGAGCCTATCTACAATGCCAGCAGATTGCCACGCAAGCCTGAGGTCCATTGGCAATTTAGTGTGGAACGATTGAGAAACTATCTGACAATTGGCGAATGTTTGAATCATCAGTGAGAATTGGCCCTTAGATGACCATAGGGACTTATCGTAAATTTCTCGGCGATGCTGCCAGTGGTTCGATAGAGGTATGATGATTTTATGCTGGTTCTGCCAGCGTACATGAGCTTTTCGTGCATGTGCTAGTACTAGGATAGTGCCGCAGTTTGAAGGACGGAAGCCGAATATAGTAACTGTGATCTACCGCCAAATGAACTGTGAAATTGTGAATTTGCTAGATAACTTGAAGCTTTGAAGTCCTGTTGTTTTCAAAGTATGTTAAATTTATAGACCAGTGCCTCTAAAGCTCAAGATCCAAGACGTTCCTTGTAATTGTTTGCGAAAAAATATGCGGTTGTTCAAACTGAGCAGTGAAAATAGCCAAATAAATCAAATAAATTCTTAACTCTAATCTTATCAATTGAATGTCGAAACCACACATTTCATTACATAACATCACATCATACTTCTGCTGATCACCCACATGTCGTGTAGATTCCTGGTGTCTCCATGACAGCGTTCTCCGGCGAAATGGTGAGTACCACTTTTGGGTGTAACTAGTTAACTTCCAACTAGGGCTGCCGTCGAGACAATCATTCGTCTCTCTCACAATTCAAATAGTAACAGTCCTTACCCTCCAAGTCCCCGACTCCTCTTTTGCACACTTACTCTTACTCATCCCTGCAGGCATGGTTCTGAGTCTCTTACATCCCTGAATCCTCAGGCAAGTCATTCGTTTGACTGACCTCTTTTTCGCTCCGTCGCACCTCGAGCGTCGTCAGTCATTGCGGTTGCAGTGGAATTGTCATACGTACTATTTGATAATCGCGTTAATCCACGCGATGTCTTCTTCCTCACAAATCATTATTATAATAGAGGGAAATTAGACATATCCTACCGACAAAGACCCCCACTAACGTGGGAGTCGGGGATTTGCTAATATGTCTATGCATCTCTTCATTTTCTCGCAGGTAGACGGTGCTGTGGGCAGAACTGGCAACAGAACAGCGTAGCAGGTGGCAGAATTAACGAAAATATTTGATGGTACTCCAAGTGTGCTACAATAATGTGAGACCACTGGATAACCTCGGAGTCCGAGTCCTTGCATTGTGGTCTGGGACCATTATCTCGTCTACCACTCTGCCGGTACTAGTTAGTCACGCACAGTCGAATGCCCTCCCTCCTAATACCCCCTCCCATTCACATCTCAGTCCAAGGCAAATTCTCATGCATCGTTCTTTCCCCATTATAATCGTCTTCTAGTCGAGTGAACTCAGCATTTCGTCAAGCGAGATGAACCTTCAGGATCGTAGCTGACGTCACAACCCGAGTCGCAGGTATCAGAATAACGGTACATTCTTTCACTCGTTCAGAGCCAAGTTTTACACACTAATTGGCGCTGTCATAAACGCAACCTCCCACTGCCGCCCTCGCCCTAGGGCAGGAAGTGCTCAAGCGCGGGATCTTTGCATATTATCCTTCGCTCATTCACTCGTTTCTCCCGTCAGTCTCGTCTCCTGTCAATCAGAGCTATCCAACTCCCCCTCATTCATCGACTTCCCGTTGAACTTCTACAGGAAATATTCTTGCTCATCGTCAACGATATGCCAGACTACGTTCTAATATGGAGAAACCATCATCTTAGCCAGCCCTCCCATACTCTTATCATGGATGTGTCGACTTTGGCAGGTTGTGGTACATTCGACGACCATTAGAGTTGTGTTTCCTGGTGACGATACTGAATTATTAAAATACTGATTCTTTCCACCTCCGCTCCAGTTTTGGCTAACGTACTGTACGCACACTTTGGAATGTCATTACAGGCATAAGACGACTCCGATAGTTGTCAAAATGTCTGTAGGATATGCGTCGTCTGTACTTATGGGCACACGCTCATCCGGGTTCCCTCGTCATTCAGGCGTGGAATATTATAGACGCAAGCAACAGTGTTGAATTGACAGACAGGATCATTGATGCGGTACAAATGTAGGTGCAATTATAAGGTCTAGCAACATAAGTAGCTATAGTGCTGTGGGATGTCTGATATAGAAGCTGGCGCACATTCATAGTACACCAAATCATTGATCAGAATTTAGCTCGACCGAGTCGCTATCGAGGTCGTGGCCAACATCATATCCGATTTTGTATCCGACATTTGTCTTTGAAAGCCCCAAGCCGCGCTTGCAACCACGGCAAAATATGGAAATCTCTCGCCGTGCTTACGAGCCACAGTGTGACAAGCGCCACAACGCCGCATGCGCTCCCAGTGATCGCGAGGGTGGTGGTTGGCGTGGGCGTGAAGACCTGGTAAGAGAACGCAATTATGAAATACACCATGCTGCAGAAGAACAGGACTTTCGTGAATGACGGAGGTCCATCAAAAACCAAATACTCACCCTCACAGCAGCATAGCATACAGAAGACCGTACACAGTCGCGAGAGAGTTAGTGCCAAATACAGATCCTGTCACCCACTGAGAAATATGACCTACAATACTTTTGTTTTGGCAATATTTCATCATCGGTGCACCGTTCTTGGCTCACTGTTGTGTCGGCAAATTCCTGCCTATACATCCGATTCTGTCTAGTGAGAAAGAAGGACGCGGCAAAAGATCCGACGATGCAAAACAAGGAAATGTACGTGCTGATGACCGCAACCGAACCCGCATTATGGAGATCGACGGAAGGCACAGCTAGGAAACTGACATCCACCGCTACCATTACAGTTGACTGATAAGAGTCTATACTCGTCGGAGTTCTTCCATGTGTGACCGCGGAGCATCGAACAGTGCGACGTTGATGGCCCATGAAAAAGCCACTACAAACTTTGACTTCTTCTCCTTGACGAAAAGAGACTGGTCCATGTTCAAACAGGCTTCAGGGAGTCCGCAAAAATTGAGCTCGCAATGTATTCTGCATCGAGAGCTTACAGAAATAACGCATGAACCTGGCTGCAAGACAATCATCCCCTAGAGGGAAACAGGATCAAAATAATATTATGCTTGCCTGTGGTACATGTATAATGGGCACCCTGGAAGTTGTCTAGTGTCAAGAATCGGTGATGGCTCAGCCTCCATAAATATAACTCTCGCCTACTACCTTCAAAACGATCAATCCGAGTCATATCCAGAATTTTCGATAATTCATCGCCGACAGTGACAAGTCCGTCGTGATAACCTCTTAGACTCCTTTCAGCGACACATGATGAACTGAGGGAACTCTCACCATCGCTAGCATGTGCAACAACTTCCTTGAGTTTCTTGAGCAACTGCAGTTTCACTCAAAATCATATGCGACAATCGGAGGTGACGGCTTGTATATATATCGTCTCCGTGTGCGAGTATCATAGCCGAACGGATCAAGCGATCTATATTCATGTGCAATCGTACACACCAGGCAAACCAAGTGCTGCTGCGTGCCTCTACAAAGAAATCATGCATCCTTCATCGTCTCAGGGGACATGATCACACTACTCGGAGACCCCATCATCATCGCACCTTCTTCAATATTCCACCCTGCTTCCTTCATGCATCCCATAAAACGAGAGAACTGCTTCCTGAGCGTCTCATGCGTCGAGAGCACCATGTCCTCGATTTCACTAGGACTAGGACTGGGACGCATATGCCGGGCACTCCACATCGCAGCTATCTCCAGCGCATGCAGCCAAGCGCGTAATTGGTCCAGGGATCCGTATCCTTCTTTGAAAGACACCAAGATGCATGGTTCGCGTTGCCTCCATGATCGAGGCTCCGCCACGAAGAGAACGTAAGGTTCTTCCTGGAAGTACTGGAGCATCTTGAGAACGTGCGATGTGTTACAGCGTGTCATAGCGTACTGCACAGATACGCTCAACAAGCAGTGTCCGATGACTTTGTTGGCGACCGCATCGCGGATGCGGCTGGGAATGTCTAAAATTATCTCTCGGTCTGATACATCTTTTGGGGTCAAGACAACAGAACGTCCATTTGCTCCTACTTTCGGGTTACGGAATGTACTCCAAAGGATGCTAGACCGTTGCCTATTAAACGATCGGAGTACGACACTGCGCACCGCAAGATAATTGGCTAAAAGATGGCCAAAGACGAGGAAGAATAGGGCGGTGTAAATTGAGGTGCGGGTCGTGATATAAGGAATGATGAGCGTTCCGAGCTATTCATATTGCCCAATAGCTATGTCCATAATTCTCAAAGGGTATTTACCAAGACACCTGTCAATGCAACCACGGTTGATCTGCTCGCACTTTTAGCATTCAATTCGCCCACGTCGCCTTTACTGTTCACAGGTGAAGCGAAGTGGTCTGTAAGTGCTGCTTTTGATCCGCCTGCAACCAGTCCACAGAGAGATCTCATGGCTCCGCTCATACACAGTGCTACGATTTGGAGAGTCGAGCCCGATGGGAGATATGGAGATGTTGTAGAGAGGGATATGCTGGTGAAATATGGGGATATGGTATCTAGGACAATGGAGGTGTCGTTGATGACATCTGCGAGAAAGCGGAATGTTTTGGTTTCGGGGTATAAGGAGGTACCGAAGTAATAGGCGCCTATTATGGCTGGAGGGATGTTGTTAGTGGGTGAGGGGTGCAGGGTAGACAAGGCAAACTTACTTGTGAACCGCGAACAGACATCTTTCAGTACTGTCAGAAGGAGCGCTTGGGTTGCTGATGCTGATGCGTCACCCACTCCAAAACCTGTATCACTGAACTGAACGCAATTTGTATCTGCATCAAGGGGCGACCGTACCTTCGAGCGCGCCTCTGGAAGCTAGTAACCCCAA